GACACGCGACTTATCCGGGATGGCGAGGCAGACCTTAAGATATTTTATTGGGCAAGCACAGCAAACAACAGCATTGCCCGGTGCCAAAAAACTTCCACAAGCTCCACAGTTTACCATCTTTACTCCAAAAATTTAAATTATAATTATAAAGTCTAAATAAAAGGGAGACAAATAAAAATACGAACAGTTGCTGGGGTCTAAAATAAATATATAAAAAAACAATAATAAAAAATACGCGTGATGCGTCGAATGTTGGTCACGTGGCAAAAATTAAACACACTGCACCGTTTAGCTCGATATTGGAATAGCGAAAATTGTGTTCTATTGGTATCATATGCACTCTTTTCAGGTTATTTTCGTTACAGAATTTCTTGATTCGGTCGCCGCGCTCAAAGCCCGCGATAAAAGCTATGCAATAGCTTAAAAATCTTAATATATATAAATCTCGTGTCACAATGTTTGTCCTCAATGGACTCCTAAACCACTGAACCGATTATAATGTGTGCAGTTCGATCCAACTTGAGAGATAGGATAGTTTAAATCTCAAATTATAGTCGCAATTTTAATTTATTGCAAATTATTACTTTTGGGCGGTACGAAGTTCGCCGAGTCAGCTAGTAATATTATAAATTTAAGATATTGGAAGTTCACATAGTTTTGAAATGGATCTTTTTGGAGTTTACTCCTTAAGAATCGATTTGCATATATAAGGGGCCCGGTATGAGAAAAATGTGAGGAGTAAAATCTATCGATGAATGACCTCGTTACGTTTTGGTGCGCATCCTATGTCGCGCAACTTTAACAAACAAAAATGACGGATTGACATTAATAAAAAATTTAAAATCTGAACTGAATTTAGATATTGTTTCTGATAGAACATTGGGGACAACGAGGTATGGTACAACCATTGATGCGGTATTTTCAAGATTCGTGAACCACGTATCTACGAACGTCCATGTGTCTTATTTTAGTTACCATAAACCACTTGTCACTGTAATTAATAATGCAGACAATGTTGATTTAATTAATATTTAAAAAAATGGTAATATTCTGATAATAATAATTACATAATTTATCAACATTCCAAATGATATATTTATGCACATCTGAAATTGACTATTGTAAAAAGTTTAATGTAAAATATTTCGTCGATTAGTTATAATAAATGTATATGAAATGAATAAATATATATTTATGTATGTATATTAGGGACGCAAGGGGGCCTACACAACATCTTTCGGGTCCCAAGTCAACCTCCCCTGCAAGCGGTGCGTCCTGCTGTATAACAGACGAGGCCCTGGCGAAACCACCCACCAACCCGCACTGGACCAGCGTGGTGGGTTATGGTCCAAACCCTCCTAAATGATAAACGCAACATTGTCCGGCCCCCAGTTCCCGGTAGCCCTGCTATTCCAGGCCAAGGCGGCGGTCTCGGTTACGGCAGGGCAGGGGGTGCTAAGAATCTCCTGGTTACGGTAGGCCGCCAAAAAACACTTAACTTGGCGACATATAACGATCGCACGTTACGGCTCGACTCACATCTAGCTCAACTGGAGGAGAAGCTGAATCACATTAGATGGCACGTGCTCGGGCTGAGCGAAGTCCGCAGAGAGGGCGAGGACATGCTGACCTTAGAGTCTGGCCATCTGATGTACTTCAGAGAGGGAGATAATCCGTCACAGGGCGGCGTCGGGTTCCTGGTCAACAAAGTCCTCACTGACAACGTGATTGAAGTCTCCAGTGTGTCGACGAGGGTTGCGTACCTCATTATAAAACTAACCAAAAGGTATAGCCTAAAGGTTATACAAGTGTACGCTCCAACGTCGACATACTCGGATGATGTCGTGGAAGAGATGTACGAGGACATCTCTCGAGCCTTACACACCACCACCAAGGCTCACTTTAACGTTGTCATGGGGGACTTCAACGCTAAAGTGGGAGTACAGACTTGCAGCGAATCGATGTTAGGATCATACGGCTATGGGAGTAGGAATCATAGGGGGCAAATGCTCGTCAATTTCTTGGAACGCGAGGGGCTTTTCTTAATGAATTCATTCTTTAAGAAACAGCCCCAGAGGAAGTGGACGTGGCGAAGCCCCGCTGCTATGACCAAGAATGAAATTGACTTCATCATATCGGACAAGAAGCGCATATTCAGAGATATCTCAGTGATCAATAGGTTTAAAACCGGAAGTGATCACCGACTTCTAAGAGGCACTCTGATTATCGATTTTAAGCTCGAACGCTCTCGATTGATGAAGTTAACGCTCCGGCCAAAGCTGCTCCAATCGGCCGTTGGTTCTGACGCATTCCAAATGAAACTGGAAAATCGATTCGCTGCCTTGGAAACCACAATTGACGTTGACATCGACGAGGAACTCGACCAAGTGGTAGAAATCCTTCGGGACGAGGGTGCGAAATTCTGTGAGCTGCGACTTAAGGGCAAACGGTCTAAGCTTTCGAAGGAGACTCTGGATCTAATGGACAAGCGGCGAAATGATCCACTAGTCACTTCGTCAGAACAACGGGCTCTGAATAAGTCCATCTCCAAGCTGATAAGACGTGACCTCCGACGCTCCAATTCACTCTTAATACAGAGAACAATTGAGCAGAACCGGGGGTCCAAAGTCTTCGTACAACAGCTTGGAAGGAGCCACCTGACGAAGTTGACCAAAATAAATGGAGAAGTCGTCACGTCGAAACCAGAGATTCTTTCGGAAGTTTATACCTACTATAGCCAGCTATACGCGTCGCACTCGCCCCACCCTACGCCGGATAAGAGCGATTCAAGAGCCACATTAACCCGCCATGTGACGGAGGATCTCCCCGACATCGGCCTAGAGGAGATCGAGGCGGCTCTTGAGCAACTCAAAAATGGAGAAGCCCCGGGGGAAGACGGAGTCACAACCGAGCTTCTGAAAGCTGCCGGCAAGCCGGTGCTGATGGAGCTCCGGCGTATATTTAACTCTGTCCTTTTCTCCGGGAGAACTCCAAGGGCGTGGCACCGGAGCTTGGTCGTATTGTTCTACAAGAAAGGCGACAAAACCTTACTGAAGAACTATCGACCAATTTCCCTCCTGAGCCATGTCTATAAGTTGTTCTCGAGAGTCATCTCGAATCGCCTTGCACGAAGACTTGACGAAGCTCAACCTGCAGAGCAGGCCGGGTTCCGACGGGGTTATGGCACCATAGACCACATTCACACAGTGAGACAGGTTATACAGAAGACCAAAGAGTATAACCAGCCCCTGTGCATGGCGTTTGTGGACTATGAGAAAGCTTTTGACTCCGTCGAGACCTGGTCTGTTCTTGAAGCGTTGCAGAGGTGCCAAGTTGATTGGCGATATATCGAGGTGCTGAGATGTCTATATAACGCCGCTAATATGTCCGTCGTGCTTCAGAATGGCCAGACCGAGCCTGTCCTGCTGCGCCGTGGTGTGAGACAAGGAGATGTAATATCCCCGAAACTCTTCTCCGCTGCGCTGCAGGACGTGTTCGGAACGCTCAACTGGAAAAAACGCGGAATAAATATTAATGGCGAATACATCTCACACCTTCGATTCGCGGACGATATCGTCATCCTGGCTGAAACCCTGCAAGACCTACAGGAGATGGTGAGTAGCCTAGCTGAATCTTCTAAACGCATCGGTCTCCGGATGAACTTGGATAAAACCAAGGTCATGTTCAACGAACTCGTTGATCCGGGACTGGTTGCTGTTAATGGAGTACCTCTCGAAGTTGTTCAGGAATATGTCTATCTAGGACAAACGCTCCGATTAGGCAAAAACAACTTTGAGAGAGAAGCCAATAGAAGAATTCGGTTGGGCTGGGCAGCATTTCGTAGCCTTCGTCAAGTCTTCTCGTCACCCATCCCTCAATGTCTCAAGTCGAAAGTCTTCGATCAGTGCGTCCTCCCAGTTATGACATACGGTGCCGAGACGTGGACACTCACGGCTGGACTGGTCCACCAGTTTAAAGTCGCTCAGAGAGCTATGGAAAGGGCTATGCTCGGAGTATCCCTGCAGGACCGCATCAGAAATGATGTAATCCGACAGAGAACCAGAGTCACCGACATAGCCCACCGAATTAGCAAACTGAAGTGGCAGTGGGCTGGTCACATTAGCCGCAGAACTGACGGCCGATGGAGCCGTAAAGTTCTTGAGTGGAGACCGCGACTCGGTAAACGTAGTGTGGGACGCCCTGAGACAAGATGGGATGATGACATTCGTAGGCTGGCTGGCGTGAGCTGGATGAGAGTGGCAGAAAATCGGGAGCAGTGGCGTGCATTAGGGGAGACCTATGTCCAGCAGTGGACGAGCATGGGTCGATGATGATGATGATGTATGTATATTATTTTCATATATTTGTTAATTTACCCTTTCATACAGTATCAATCTTTTTTAAGTTAAATAAACTCTTTTTGCGTCTGGTTAGACTATCGAACTTAAGGAGTAAACTCCAGTCGTGCGTCGGAGCTGACACACACAATTTTTTATCAATGTGTCTTTAATAATTTCTTTACAATGCTAGGTGAGCGTCCACAAGTGAGTTCGAGCCCGCGACTAGTTGAACCTTAACGTGGATGTATATGGTACGACTGTACGAAGCTCACACGGATCGAGACGAGCTGCTCCGAAATCGGACGAATACGTAAGCAGCTGTTTGTGAGAAAGTATTTAGGTGTATAGGTTTCTATCATCTATGTATAATAGTGAATAGCTGTACTCGTATGTGTATAAAGTGTTTTAAACATGAATAAACAGAGTACTGCATAAATAAAATAAATAAATGCTTATAATTGCATAAGTTGATAATAAATAGCTTTACCGCGGCAGTCCCCGAGTGCCACACGTATTTGTTTTATTTGCAAGTCTGCAAATGCAAATAAAATAATTTTAACGCTGTAACCTGCACATCACACTAGTGCATTGCATTACTGTTGCGCTCGCTGCTATAACTGCACAGCCATCATAAAGATTTTTACTTTGTGTTTGCCTCACCTTCCGTTCTTGGTAACGATCATCTCGTTGGTAAGGGTCTGGAAGCGCACCCAGAGCTCTCTGTCGTCGAGGGCTACGCTGACCTCGCGCTCCCGGCCGCCGCGCGAGCCACCGCCGCCGACTGTCGGCTCCACGGCGCTCAGGATATGCGATGCCGCCATCCTAGAAAAACAGAAATTATCTTATATACGTCCCGGCAAACTTCTTGAGCAACGACCATGGACAAGAAAACCTGCGCAGAAGCAATTTTACATACAAACACATCTTCAACACAAGGTCTATTTTTTAACTATGTTTTGCTTAAAAAGTTTGCCGCTACCTATACTAACATTAATACTCACTTCTCAGCTTGCAGTTACGAAACTGCTACCATTTTGGATGCCTAATTTCAAACTCCCATATTAACAAATTCGTAAATGAAGATTTCTCTGTAAAAGCTTTCAACCGCGTAGAACCCCATACGATATAATAAGAAATTTTATCTCCTACTTTAAGTCCTTAGGAACTGAATTTTCGAAAAATAATGTAGCAATAAATTTTCATTACTTAATAAACCGTTTTTCTGTTATTAAACTTTTCAAGAGATTTTGGTAAGGACACAGCGGATTTTTTCGACCAAAAAGGAGCAAGCTGGAGCAGCACGTTCCTCTGCTTTGTTAGCCTAGATAGTAAAATTTAACTTCTTATAGTAAAAGTCACGTCAAATACATAGTAAATGTGTAAAATATTGACAAATGGTTATTTTTTCTATAGGATTTAATTATACTCAAATTATCTACTACCACCTAAATGCACTCAACTCACGATTAAGTAGCATCTAGTAGGATTGAGTAATATTTAAGCTTCCAATCTTAAAACTTGTATCTTAGAAATGTTAAGGTTTTTAATTCAGTAGGTATCAGATTTCATCATTCCATTGTATAATTTTTATTGAGCAAGGTTCCACGAGCTTCTGAAGATCTAACAGACAAGGTTGCCGAAAAAGCCTTTGATTTTAAGCAAACAATTCGATACGTTACGAAACTCAATCTATACGTACTAACCAAACGGAAAGGCGCACGAAGCCTAAATGCAAATAACATTATTTTATTGTAAGTTTGTCGGAGGCACGATCTCCTAGAATGTTTGTTTAAACTATTATCACTTAGTACGTAGGTTCATCGTCCCAAATCAACTCGGTATTTCCAAAACTGCACCCGATTTCATAGTAAAGGATGAAATAGGTTTCATCAGACATTATAGACGCGCAGTTACATATTTTGAAGTCGCGACGATCTTGAATCCCTTATTTTAAATTCTGGTGCAATACGCGCACTACATGCAAATGTTGGTGCCGGCTTACCATACCCAAGTAGTAAACGGAAACTCAGATCTAGTTATGTTTGTTGGCTGGCAACACAGAAAGAACTACGTTTATTATGTTTGTATTCTGTGACAGAACTTATTATTAAGACAGGTATCTCACAGCGTATTTTCAGCTCGAATTGGAGCTTCCGTCTAGGAAATCAACCTCCGCCTAAAAGAAGACCACATTAAAATAAAATTCTATTATTCTAATGTAAATTCTATTATTTTCTTAAACGTTATGAAGCTTTTTCTGTCTTCCCTGCTCATTGTGACTTCAGTCACTTCAGTGTTCCTTCCACGTTCTTTTCAACATTTCAAGGGCTACTTTTGTTCATTTACGTGGGTTTTTTTTTATGTTAACAAAAGACTAATACTTTTCTGTTTATCTTCTCTTATTATTAAATTTTACTCGTATCATACAAAAATATTTAAGGGTAAAGTCAGCATTTCTAGTGTTTTTTACTTAACTGTTCATGCTGTTACTTGGTTTAATTTTTTCTGGTATTTTTAATCATCTTCTCATTCCTGTTAATATATTTTTTTGACAGACATATCTACAAAATTTACTTCTTCTTTAAGTCACCGACGATTCTGATAATTTAAATTGTCTCCTAAGATTTCATTGCTATTTAACTGCTTGCATATATTTTTAAAACTGTTTGTGACCCATATGGGTAAAAAGTACCTAACTTCTTTCATTTTAATCTTATCTATTTACTTTTGAAGATAAACTTATGCATCTTTATTTTTATGTTTTCCAACTTTTCATCCCTATAATATAAACAGAATCACAAATTCCCTCGATTATTCCATAATCTGGGAACGACTTTACTTTAAAATTTTGTCCATCTTTTTTTGTAAAGTTTTCTAATACTAGTACGAGGTTCTTAGGAAAAAAAATAAACTTAACTACTAGGTGCCGTTGCGATGCAGAGTTTTAGGATTCATTGTGCATTTTTATCGAGTAGGACAACCTCATATCAGTATTTTTGAAATATCCACCCCTAAGGCTGTCAAAGGAGATTGCTCAAATTGGCCCAAATGCACAAAAAATATTGACAGACTCGGTAATAGGGGTGATGACGGGGTACAGTAAACGAAATTCTATTTAGTCCGTCAGATAGATGATCAAAAAATAATGGACACGTATTTTTTCTTTGGGCAATCAACCAAAAAATGACAAAGTTATAGCGCGTCAAAGTTTGGGAGTAGGGGCTCGTGACGTCACTTTTGAGTGAATTTTCCCTTATAAGTGTACTCAAACGTGACGTAATGCGACTTTTCAAATCAATATATCTCTGCAATGTTTATATTATGTGAAAAAAGAAAAAATACGTGTCCAATACTTTTTGATAATCTACCTGATAAACGAAGAAAAAAAAATTAGTCATCATCCCTATTCTTGGCGTAATTTATAATTTAATTTACAGTCATTACATTTCAACGGACACCTTTGTATAATATATTTACTATAAAAAGGACTTTTAATTTTACAGGTTTGGAAAACATACGAATCATTTTTAATGGCGATGGGTGTAGTAACATTCAGCCAAAGACTGATCGAAGTTGTTTATATAACATAAAAACAAATCTATTCTGTAAAGATCGATAAAATATATATATATTTTTTTTATTACACTGTGGTATTAATATCCACTTATTATCATTATATTATCATTTTCACTAGATGCAAATGTGCTCAGACTATTATAGATGGTAGGCGACATCATAAAGTCTATTGCCATACATTTTTCGCCAAACACCTCCATAAACACATTATAATCTGTATATATGTTAGACTTTAAGATATCTATCTATGGGCCTACGTTCCCTGACTATAAATTAATAAATAAATAAAATTATAAGGTGTGATGCACAAAAAATCTAAAATATGGTTATCTTAAAAACATAACAAAAATAATGAAGCTACTGAATATATGGCTATAGAACCTAAATCTCTTAGCTTTCTTTGGTTAACGAGAGTTTAAAAATTCTCTTCTGTGACTCATTCACAATCATCACACAGTTTCTGTCACAGAGTACCTTATTATAACCGGAAATGACACCTGATTTTAAAAGTTACTCTTATGCATTAACTTTAAAAACAGACTATCTGTTAATCTACATGCTCTATATACCTGAATCTAATCCATAATTTCGGTTCTTGGCTTGATTTCCCTAGTTTAATATTGTAGCAATTAAATTTAATAACGTTAAAACATAGCAATATAATTCTTAAATATTAAGTCGTAGAAATATTATTATTTATTCAGCGCCATCTATCATCATGCATATAAATTATTCAATATCGTAGTCCACTTTGAAAAGCAACGGACAAGTACAATATATGTGTGAACCTAGTAGTTGCATTTGGAATGTAAGTTAGATGGAGCTAGTGTGTAATTTTTTTAATGAGATGCAAAATTGGATGTGACGTCACATTAATGTTCTGGAAAAAGTGAGAGGCGGAGTCAGCAAAACCAGTCCGTTTGATTCCTCGCACCAAATATGGTGATATGAGAGAAATTTGCAATGACGCTGTCACGTGTTGTAGTAGCCTATAAATAGCAGTGCACAACCAAATTCGCTCTCTTTTGGCTGATAGAACCTTGAAGACCATACTTAGAAAATAGCATTAAGACTAGCAGTGGTAGTCAGTGCATTATTTACTTGATATTTCTCCCCGGATTAACGGGTCCATTAATTTGGCTAATTAATAACAGTAATAATCACAATTACTTGATCCTGATTGGAATCTCCTTGGAAATATATATATATGAGCCTGTGAAGCTTTCTTGAGCAAAAAGTGACGGGTTCACGTGATGACAGCAAGTCCTGCTTCATCCCTGAGGACATTTGAGTCATCCTGATGCTCCCATGATCTTGCCAAGCTAAGTAAAACTTATAACTTCTTGATATTTAACCAGTGCATACTCCGGAGAACAATTTCTGTTTAACGTGATAAAGGATTTGTATTGGTAAACTGTAAAGCCATTATAAGAACATAACAAATTTTTATTGTTAAATTTCCAAAACTTAATATTTTATAACTTGTTTAATAATTTGTTTATATAAGAAACTTAAATTGAGTATTACTGTATTAGCACATGATCTTGAATGTATGAATATCTTTAAATCAAAAGAAAAATCTTTGAGGAAATATAGCTATGTATTTATTAAGTTGAATGTGACTAGTATTAAGTTTTAACCATGATGAAATAAGATCTGAATCTTTTTTTGACAATATAATATCTTGTTCACTGCGGTTTTAGACATTTTCATTTATCTCCCTCAAATCACAGTATTACGGCGCCCTGATTATAAATTAAATAAGTTTCGAGTCTCATGTAAGCCCTGAAATAGCCGGTGATAACAAAAATTGTTACAAAATGGCGACCAACTTTAGGGCCGAGCAATAAAATACTGTATTTGAGGGAAATACTAATGTGTTAATATGATGATAAAAAGATTGGTGGAAAAATTTAATGCTTAAAATCCCCAATCAGTCTGAATAGCACATTAGAAGTAAATTACTTAATAACTTAGAAAACTTTAATAAACAATACTCTTGGAATACTAGTGTGTCTAAATGATGATAAAAAGGTTGGTGGAAACATAGATGCTTAAATCCCCAACCAGTCTGAAAAACACACTAGCATTAATTAACTTAGCACATTAGAATTAATCAACTTATACTAGAATAACACTTTCGTATTGATTGGATGTGTAAAAAATTGACCTTGAACAGTGAACAAGATAGTCTTTAAGAATTGAAACTTGTAATAATAAAAGTACCCTCCTGCAAAAAAAAAAAA